CCCTTCGGACTTTTCGCATAAAACATGGCTTCTCCGACCACTGTGCGCCTCATCAATTCAGAAATTATACTACGTTTATACCTGTCTATAAAGGTAACAAATTGCACAACTAAAATTTCCATCTCCAAGATGAAATTGAGCAAAAACCAACTCCGTATATATATGGGGGAAAAGCTACTTATTCATTTCGGAGCTCGACTTTGATGATATCGTTGCAGTATTCGCAGCACAAAAATCTTGGAACCAGTCGGTTTAGTACATGATGCAATAATGAAAGGTGTTGTACGTTGTGACAGCTGGAAATCGAACTACCTTAGGTCAATATTGTATTTTGGAAGTACAAGAAAAACGGAAAGAAAAAAAGCCCTTTAGTTGAAAAAGTACTAAATTTTATGCCTTCTCAACAGCGTTCCGATTATCTGAATAGGTATATATATGGCTTGGTAGTCTCATAAAGCTGTAGATAATTAAAATAATAAAATAAGGCGTATTTTTATTCACAGGAATATGATAATATGCTTAAAATTTTTGAGCTGATGAATACCCAGCTAGAACAGTATGGCATATATAACTCCTTATATAAGCCGCATCACTAAGAAAATTATCCCTTGTGAATTTGAAATGTTTCTCTTATATTGTACAGGCCAAATAGAGGAATTAATTTACGTGTGATATTTTGTCCCCCTCTTTCAAATGGGCTTCTTGTGCGCATATATCAGGTTTGATAGCTGTTGACCATACCAATAATGCCTCATACTCAGTTTTACTAGATCAATTCGTGTTCTCGAGAAAAAAAATTTCACGATTCAAAAATCTGAGTATAGCGGCCAAATTCTTTTCTAAAAAATTTGAAAAATCTTCGTTTTTTGGCCTATATTTGCTTTGTATGGTATTTGCCATAAAATATAGGCCAAAAACGATAAATGTTCAAAATTTTGAGAAAAAAGATTTTTCAGATTTTTGGATCGTGAAAATTTTTTTTCTCGGAGAACACGAATTGATCTAGTAAATCTGAGTATGAGGCATTATTGGTATGCCAACAGCTATCAAACCTGATATATTCGCACTAA